GGTGAGTTCAGCTCTCGCTGCAGCGACAACAAATGCTCCTTTCTGAGCTGATGCACCTTTTCTGTGCTGAGCAGGGTTATATAGTAGCGCATAGCGTTGAACGATTACTCGGCCCCACAGCAACAGTGGACCAGTGGTTGCTAGAACGGGTCGGGGCTGTACGATACCTCAAACACGAGTTCAGGACTAGTGACAAAGCGGTGGAGGTATGTGGAACAGCACAAAGCAACACAAGCATATTTCGCACGACACCAGGTGTTTGAAGTTGGAAAATTCCAATTTGTTCAAATTCTCGTTCTGTGTTGCGTCTGATCAGGAATGTTGTATTCTCGGGAGTCGGTCCTGACATACAGAGCGCGGGGAAGTGTGAACCATGCGCACTTCAAGCGTCGTCGCGGCGCGGTGACAGACGTGAAGGTTGACGAGTCTCGATTCGTGATTCACAGCTGTCCATCCGCGCGGTACGGAGGTGGTGGGTACGATCGAAACATCAGAAGAGCGAGGAGGCGCAAATCTGTGTGATGTCTAGGGACGTCGTCTTGAGCATAAGCGACTATGCGTGCGTGCGTGCGTGCGTGCGTGGGAGAAGCTGCAACTTACGTTGTCAAGACAATTTGTCCGTCGCTGAGCCGCTACCCTCTCCGACGACGAAGGGATCCTTCAGCAAGCGCTGCAGATAGGCTTCTTTCTCCGCCTTGAGAAGCTCGTTCTCCTTTCGGAGAGCCACTAGCTTGTCTTCCTCTTCTTTTTTCTTGATCAAGCTGTCCGTGAGGCCCTCGACGAATGGCTGCCAGGTGGAGAGAGACAACGATTTAAGAGATTTGTGTGTAGTAGTGAATGAGTGAGAACTCACCAACAGACGCTCCAGCAAAGTCTGCACATAGTCAGTGCGCTCGAAATGATTTCCAGCGGGAAAATTAGGCTTGTATTCCCCGCCGACCATTTTGAGAAGCTTCTCGACAGTGTTGATCTAGGAGAGAGGGGCAAAGAAAGGAAGTCATCATGATTATCTCGTCCATTTGGT